ACAAATATTGTATTATTTAAAAAAATTATTTATTTCGAGAATTATAATAAAAATATAAAATGATTGACAAATAATTCAATTACTCGTTAATTTAAATACTAGTTATGTATAAGAGTTAAGCCGACAATTGTTTGGGTTTGAAAAAACTGGTTATAGAGGACTGGGTTTTACTCTTCTTATCGTTTAGTGGTTTAGTCTTCTTCTCGATGTTCTTGTTTTCAGTCTTAGGTTTAGGCTTTTGTTTCTCAACAACAGGTTTACTTGACTTCGGATCGGATTCCTCGCACTTCGGACTCTCAGACTTCTTGACCTCAACTTCTTTTCTGACGGTTTTGGTTACAAGATATCCGTCTTCATCCATATGTGTCTCCTGTTTCTCCTCTAATTTCTTAACAGGCTTTTGGTTAACCTCTTGAGTGCTCACAAACTTATCAATGGCCGACTCCTTGGGTTCATCGGAATCACTGTCTGATATGACGCGAACTCTTTTAAACTTTTTGGACCTCTTTTTGGTCACAATCTCTTCGTCTGAACTATCGTTCAAATCATTGTTTGAAGTTCTCTTCTTTGGATTCGCTTTTCTACCATTTTGTGGAATCTCTTCAATGTCACTATCCTTACCATTAATGTCTTCATTGTCTTTAACTTCAGGTTTGGTCTCCTCTTCGCTGTCACTCTTAAACGGGTCGTCGCTTTCGTTACAATCAATCGATTCTTTCTCTTCGTTTTCAATCGTCTTATTCTTGGAAAACATATTCGAGATCTTATTCTTCTGTTTCCCCTTTCCTTTAGCATTGGTTTTGGCCTTCGCTTTGCTGTTCACGACTTGTTTGCCATTCGATGCACTCTTTTCTTCCTCCACTTTCTTCTCTTCCTTCACATAAACCGTTGGTTTGATTCCACGTCTGCGACAATTTGGCCGCAAATTAATGTCTCGATTCGTGACATACGTTAAGCTAAACAACACATCATTTAATCATAATTTAGTTTTCATTGCAATTAAAACATTAATCAAATGAAATACTTTTGCAACTCTTTGATGTCATTTTGATCCTTCACTTCGTATTCATATTCTTTGAAATTCAGATCAATTGAGTTGTTGTCTTCACCCGAACTCACACTATATATATGTTTATTGAATCCGTTTCGGAACCACTCGATGGCCGACTCCATCTCTGATTCCTCAACAATCATGAATCTGTCCATCTGTTCACAAATAGGTCTCAATTAAAACAAACCAAACCTCTGGACCTAATCAACAAAACCTTGGTTTCCGTGTCATTAGTCTTGTTGTCGTTATTTCCTGACAACAGATAATTAAGACATAAATTGTTGCCATCCTTTCGTTGATCGCAAACAAATTGATCCAAAAGTCTGTAACAAATGATCAATGAGTTAATGAATGTCTGAATGTGTGGTCATATCTTGAGCTCAAGACTCACTCAATGGCTCTCTTGACATGAACTCTGAATCTGACGCTCAGATAAGTGTAGGAAATCTGGTGACCAAATGATAAGACAATTAGTGGTCATAGAAATGCATTCAAATGGCAATACAAACACATTTCTTGTCCTCAATGACCAGTTTTGTCAATTCATTCATCACTTCTTCAGTCATTGAATCCATATTAAGCGACAATTCATTGGTTTTGCTCTCATTTGCACTCATTTTGTCAAATGTTTTGTTAGTTTTGCGCCAAAAATATCTCACATTTCACTCAAAATACTCTCAAAAGTCTCGCATTTGTCTCAAAAGTATTTTGCATTCAATTTAATTGTCTGTAAAATACAATCAATTTTAGACACAATTTATGCTTAAAATGGACTTTAAATTAATAATGCATTCAATTTAACACTCATTTCATGTGTTTTAATGAATCAAAACAAATAAATTGCAAAATAATAGTCAAATTGAATGCAAACGTAATTATTGTGGCAATGATTGCATCAAAACATCGGATCTAATGAATGGATAATTTGTGTGATTTGAGTGATCAAGACATTGACCACAAGACACCTCCGCAGTCGAGTTCCGCAGACATCGATGGCGTCCACAAGACGGCCGACTCGGAGGTCGTGACCACCACNCTCAAACTATATGAATGTCCGCTCCCTTTGTCCGCCACTTTCGACGGCTGTGACCAACACTTCAGCCAACTCTTCGTGTCATCGTTTGAGACACCGATAGGTCTGGAGAAGTGTGCCGTCGTTCGCATCCAAGATGTCTGTGAACTCCACTTCACTCTCAACCACAACAGTCAACTCGTGTGACACTTGTGTCCACTCATTGTCTATCAAAGAGGTTATCATCCAATCATTTCCGTTGCAATCAATTTGACTCATTGTATAGTTTGTGAACATTTGATACAATTTGTAATTTACATGAAATAAAGCAAATATTTTGTGCATTCAATCATTTATAAGACTATTATTGCTTTCAAATGCTAATTCAAATATTCTTCATTTAAAGTTTTCTAGTTTTTAACATTTTAATTATTACCTCAAACACCAGTTCCTATACTACCCTTTTATACCACATTACTTCATATGTCTAACAATTATTGCTACAAATCGTGGTTTTCTTGATACATATTTATTGATTTAAATAAATAAGTTTAAAATCAAGCTAGTATCTATTTGATAACATAAGATTTTATAAATTTTCCTATTCTAAATATTTAATAATTATTGCATGATACTTTACTGCTAGAATAATTGATAATAGTGTAAGATAAAATTAGCAAAAATATCACAGAAAGTATGAATGAGATACTGTACTAGAATTCTTGATTAATTTAAACATAATATCCAATATATAAACCCTGATTGTCAGATATTGGTAAAGTTGGCAATATTCCTTTTTGTTGTTGACATTCCCTGTTATGAACATTCTCTACTGTGTACAGATTTGGTCTGCATTAGGTCATACACAACTCAGAGCTTCGACAGATTTATTTATTCAAATTTTAGTTCGATCATAGATAAACTATTGTATTCTAAAATATTTAAAAGGATAAGATTTATAAATTATTAATAACGTACTATGAAATGACGATCTTATTAACTATTATCACATAGTTATTAAATGCATATATGTGTATAATAGGTAGCTTATTCTGTATTCTGTAATTCATTTTATGAAAATGCACAATATTGTGAACAAATAGCGTATAGTACACAATATGGATTAATGAATTTCATTTAATAAATGCTTGATTATCAATTATGGCAAAGAGATCAAAGAATCATTTGGATTTGTATATTATCCTATAGGGTATACACTTTGAGTACATGTTTAATAAAATTATTGTTTGTAAACCTACGTTTGTTTTGGTAATTTATTTTCTTCACTACGTAATGTAACATTTATAGTTTACATTAAGTAAGTACGTAAGTTTGAAAATTTGAGTGTCACTATAATTATAATATCTACTAATAAACATAATTTATATGTATTTTGTTTTTGTAGCTACAAATATTTACCTGAATAATAGAATATGCATTAAATTTAAATAAAGTTTTAAATATAGCATAAACTAATTTGCTTAATTGAATCCTTCAATTTGTGTGATTATCTGCTGTAGAATATCACTGAATATTATATTCTTGCTTTAACTTTATAATTACTACAGTATTGATACTACAATATATAGTTTATATACTTGTATAAACTAACATTAAAACTTTATGTGTCTGAATAATTGATCTAGAAGATATAATTATAGTTGATGGTATATTATATATTAATTGAATTTTTATAATATCTTTAAATGTCGAATGGCTACATTATATTCTTAATGATATTTAATGATATATAAATATAATATCTATATTATTTTTAGAAACAATTGGTTTTAAATAAAGAACTAAAATAATAAAATTTTTGATATGAAACATAAATCTGATACAATCTGATATAATACTTGGGGTACAATACTAATACATATTGTAGAATTGTTTAATATAACTATTTAATTATAATTAATGTTGAACATTCTTAATCTAAACATTTTATGTTCAATAGATTCATATCAATTTTTTATAATCTTTTAAAATGCATATTAAATTTAAATTCTTTGTTGCATTCAATATTCATATTATTTGTGTTAACATTTGGAAGTTATTTATAAAAAATTTATAAAATATATTCCGTATAGATATTTAGTCCGTATTATTTTATTTGTACACTATGTAGTATATATCTTAAGTATAAATTTTTAAAACTGTTTTTTAAATAGAAATCTAAATCAGAGTAAAAGGCAACCCCTAAATACAGAATATCCATATAAAATAGCTGTATAATAATGATTATGACAATTTAGGAAAACCACAAAAAACAATTACCGTACTGTAATATCAATGAAACTTTGTAATTTCCAATTTCAGATATAATTTCTAAATAAAGGAAACTGAGCTTAATTTATACTTATTTTTGTTATTATATTATTTTGCACTCAATGAAAGAATTTTATTTAGACAAAAAAATAAAGTTTTCTGTTAAACAAAAATTTATTAAATTTTTACAATTTATTATTATATAACAACATTATAATATAGTAATGTCACATTACTAATATTTTATAATTTAGTCAAACAATAACTTTTGTATTGTATATACTGTTTTATTGATGTAAATCTTTCGAAAAAATGAATTAATGGTAAAATAAAGAAATATAAAATTAATGTTAATTTACAGAATAATTAATTTTAACAAAAATGATAAAAACAAAATTTAAATTATAAGTTAAACTTTTTTAAATATATAAATTATCATATTTTAAGCATTGAATGACTAGTTTTATGAGTTATGATTTACGTATGAATGAAAGAATAAATGACTGCTTTATGAAAAACAAATGAATTAAATAAAAGTTTGTTTATTTATAATAAGTCACAATTCACTAAATTATTGAATTAATTATAAATAAATTTACAAACTATTAAATGATACTTATCAATAGGTAATAATAGTATCTTCATAATAATATAATTAATTAAAAACTGTTACTTATTGAACAAACAGTAATAAATTGTTGTTAAATAATTGATTAAATAAATAACAAGAAAGCAAAAAATGAGATCATTTTAACGCTTTTTGTTTGTCGAGTCAAATAAGAAATCTTTAATACATTTGTATTGAAAGCATGTCTGAGGAACAGAGCTTTTATAGAAGACACGGCTTTGTCTTAAAGGCTTCAACACTAGTCGGGCGAAAGACTCACACGAAGGGCTGTCCTCACAGGCCAGTCGACTGGCCTCCAGAAAGCCGGCGTCGCAGTCACTCGACAACAGGCCGTAGATCTCTCCCTAATCAACGAAATAGAGTACAAAATTAATTTATTCTGATATTCGTGTCATTTGTGGCATTAAATGAATTCAAATGAATTCTTACACATGTGTAGCAAATGTGGTGCCAATTACACGCATCTGTAAACGATTCGTGAAGTCTTGAGTTTGGCATCAGATCTGCAACTGAAGAGCAATCACTCGAAAGCATCTCAATTGCAAAACAATTGTCCGCTGATTCCGATCTCGATAATGAGTTTTCTGTTAAATTAATTTTATTTCAGTTAACTTCAAGAATTCAATTAAAGAAAGTATTCAATAGTTTTATATTACTAGTCAAATAAATTCTTAGACTCATTAAATTACTTTTAATTAAATAAAATATCAATAAAATTGAATTATTCTTTTAATTAAAGGCAATGTAAGACATAATAAATTTTATACCCAAATTATCATCTTGGTTATCCATTTGATTATCCGTCAGATCTGTTGTCAAATCAACATTTAAATTATTAATGATATCAACATTCTTGTAATTTTCATCATTTATTTTATCGACAGTTTTATGTAAGTCTTCTAATGTACTCCTCATGTCTTCAATATCATAGGCGGCGTCTAATCTGTTCTCAATTTTATTGCTTTCGGCCTCAGATTGGGACCCCTTTTGTGCCGTCTTTCGTATTAAACCAATCGCTTCGTTAAGAAGTGAGTCTTCAATGGATTCGAGTTTAGTATTAATACGAGTGAAACGTTGGGAATCGATATCTATGTCATTGGTTTCGTCGTTATCTCTGTCTTCAACATCAGAATTAACGCTTCGCTTCTTCTTTTGTCTGCTCTTCTCTTCAATGACGTCCCAAATGACTGAATCTTCGCTTTCATTATCTGTCCTCTCATTCCTTCCATTCGTGTCTTCATTTTCATTATTTTTGTCGTTACCCTCGATGTCATCCTCAACAGCGGCCACCACATAGTCGTCACTTTCATCCAATTTACCATTATTTTTGTTCAAACTATTGTCTGGTCTCTCGTTCTCGTTGTCTTCATTACTGTCATCGATGGCTATTAAGTTGTCTGGAATTGAATTTAAGTCATCGATAGAATTGATGCCATAGTTGTCATCGCTTTTCAGATTATAATCAAAGCTGTCTTCACTTCTTTTCTTTCTCATTGTAGCCAAAGCTTTGGCGATATTCTCGTAGTATTCTCTTCTCAACCACTCATCCAACTGTTGGTTACCTATAGGCGACTCTCCGTCCGATGTCTTTCCAATTTTGAGTTCACTTTTCTCCTCAATATTCTCAACCGGATAAATAATTATATTTTCATTTTCATTGTTATTATCATTATTTTCGTCATTTTTATCATTAAATGACAGTTCAGTCAAAGGACTGCTTCTCTTATTCTTTGTTTTAATTTCTTTAATCTCTGTATTCTTTGGACGCTTTGTATGGGAAAGGCTTTCATTTGTTTTATTACTTCCAGAATTAGTTTCGTTTTGTTTGGTTTGTGTGTATTTTTCAGTTTTGCTATCATCTGACAAAATATCATTCAGTTCTGAGACAACTGTCTTATCAGTAGTTTTCAGATCTTTAGGACTCGTTTTGCTTTCATTATTGACTCCCATGTAATCCAAAGCCATCTGTGACTCCACTTTTCTCTTTGTAATCACTTTCTTGACTTTTGTTTGTTTGTTGTTTTTGTTTTCAAACTTTTGATCCGATTTTGATTTTGAAATCTTAGGAATGGGCAAAGATTTCTGTATTTTTGAATCAGTATTTCTTTTTATCACATTTCTTTTACTTTCCTCAACATTAAAGTGATCGTCGAGTACTCGTCGGGGTCTGAAAGAGAATCAGAAGTGAAATTAATTACACCAAAACGAAAAGTATTAAACAACGAAAAACGGGTTTGAAAAGTGAAAACCAAATTCTCTTAAAGCAAATCTTAATGAACGAAATCTTCGTGTCCTTTTCTTTTTCTTATTAATCCGATTCAATATTCTGTTGGAAACATCGGAATCTTGTTCTGTGTTATAATCCGATAGTTTTGACAATTTTAAAGCCAATGCTTTCAGATATAAATCGTTTTTAGGGGAATCGTCTGAATAGTCGTCTTCTATTTGGTTGTACTGTATTTAAAACAATAATCATTTAAAATAACAAATGATTATATTTTCCTAAAACTTGTTTAAACTTTTTATAACTTTAAAACTTTATTTTTATATCAAATTCAATAGATTTAGTAAAATACGTACACTATATAGACTGAACTTTGTTTGATTTAAAAAATAATTTTTCTAAAAATTTATCTGAATTGTGACAAATATTTTTAGTTTAATAATATTTGTTGAGATTGAAGCAATACATTGGAAATTATTGACTCAAAACACTTGAGCTGTTTATCCATTCACTTGATACACATTACGAGTGAATTTATATAAAGCTCAGTAAATACCAAACACTAAAAGTAATGCAATCATATGCTGAATATAAAGTAATAAATTCTAGAAATAAAAAAATAAAACACTGCATACAGTACTGTATAATGTGAGAAAACTTTTCATTTAGTGTCATACGTCTATGAAACAACAAGATTCATTCAAAGCTTCAAGTTTATTCAGCCAACACATTTATAAATAAATAATATTATTAATAACAGATTCTCAAATGTACTTCTAACCTTATCAGAATTTAAAATAGAGGTTTTCATTAAATATAATACTGTAGCTTATTATTTGTTTGATATGAAAACATAATTTATACAATTTTCTAGAAAACAACTTTAATATTAGCTCAAATGTATTGTCAGGATTTGTTGACTAATGAGTTATCTTTTGTCTCATTTAACATAAAACATATAAATATTTGCAATATTATAATGAGATGATGAGTACTGTATAATAGAGTAGTGATGTGTGCGGACTCACCTCAAGCGGAACTTCTATGAGTTGTACGTTTGGGTTAGTGTTGATCGGGACTAAAGGGACTAATCTTTTGTAATATTGAATGGCTTGAAGTGGAAGACTGTTTGGGCCGTAAAGATGTGCCAAAGGATTCTCCGCTCGTCTTCTTTGAATGGTTTCGATTGCGTTCTTAAGACTATTATCTCTATTATGCGAAACGCTTTTGAATTGTTTTGATGAGGAATGGATCTCATCTAATGATAAACAGGTCACCCGACAGACCATTGCTATCACACATAATACCAATATATTCATTCCAAAGCACATCTTGTTTTGAGGCTATTATTATAATTTCTATAAGAATATAAGAAAAATAAATAAACTTTAGAAATTCCCATAACAATGAATACAAATATTTAAAGTTATTTAATGTTACTTAACTATTTAGATAAATATATACTATTTTAATCTTATTAACAAGTTAATTATAGAAATTATAAGTTTATAAGATCTAAATTAATAGGTTCTACAGATAGTATCTATAAGTATCATTATTGTTATAATGGATTTAATTGTTATTAGACATTTATTTTACTTCACTGAATAAGATTAACTTTCTTAGCATTTTAAGCCTCTAAATTAAGTGTTAGATTACAACTAATTATTTTGATAATTAAGAGATTAATATTTTTCAGTGCAGAGTATAATATATAATATTGATTTTACAATAATTTTAAACGCTATAAATTGTAAATATTATTTTCTTTTACTTAACTAACAGAAAACAAATTTCTAAAAGACATAAACATAATTTTTATAAATTTATAAAACAATTTCCACCAGAAAATTGGATTTCAATTTTCACAACTCAATTTATTGAAGTCTTAATAATTCTATAAATTAGATTACATTTTACTGGAAATATTTTGTTGAGTGACGTGAACACAGAATTACAATTAAAGTTAATTTCATATATTCTTATTTATACAAAAAGCAATTATTCAAAAAGACAGAAGCGTTGTTAAAGTGACATAAAACTGACCAGACAGTACTACTACTATACATAGAAATGTCTAAAATTGATAATCTTTATACTTGATAATCTATATAAATGGTTGTTATTTTTATAATTAATAAAAAATATTAATTGTTTATCATAATATTATTATAAGTTAATACTGAATTATTCTTATTATGATACAGTATATTATAACATTATTATATAACATTATTATATTATAAGTATTATATATAACGTATTTTTATATACTTTTATGTATATAAGTTATTATAAAAATATGCAAAAATATAATTTTTGTTTTATTAATATAATTTTCCTCTAAATTAGGTGTATTTTACCCTTAAAAATGAAAAACTATGCACATTACAGAAAAGTAGAGTATATTAAAATTGTGTAGACATGATGTGATATAGGCATAATACAATGTACGTAATCTTCTATAATTTAAAAATGCATTTTGTGAAAATGGTAGCAATAATGTATTGAAAATGTCGTATTAATACTAATTTTCTAATTCTCGTGTACTATAGAAAATTAGAAAATTAGTATTAATACGACATTTTCAATACATTATTGCTACCATTTTCAAATAATTTTATAATTTTTGCAAATTACTTAATTTTTATAACAAATTATATTCATTAAAACAACTAAATGACTATTCTTATCGATTATCGTTATTTAGCTCATCATTGCCATAATGACTGACTTGATTTGGTAGCTCCCATTAGTTTGAAACTAAATGTTTGCGACAAAACATTATATTCATCTCGAGTTAAGTACTGTTGGGAAAAGTCCGCAATTTTGCCTAAATATTAGCCAATTGTTAGTACAGTATAGATGAATCGATAAGACTCGTGAAATAAAGTAATAAATTGATACCATCTTTAACAGTGAATGAGTACAAAATAGTGGATCTATTGGTGGCTTTGGTTTGGAAGGCGTACTGATAGTAAGCACTGTTACTACTCTGCGCGTGACTCCGGAAGCAAATTGTGTCCATTTTGATGGGAACACACATTGTCTCCACATTTGCCTCTTTCTTATGCCCAATATTACCGTTATTTTCACTTTTATTATTTGTTTCAATAATCGTTTCTTTTGTTTGCCACTCGTTTTGAGAGCTCTTTTGGTCCTCTAATGAATAGAAAAAGTCTTAATCACTGAAAGTCAGGAAATCAATAATAAGTTTAAGAGCAGACCATTAGTTTGGTGGACGACACAAATGGGACAACACTGGCCTTGAATTGGTTTGGTTTGGAGACACGAACTCTTGTGGCAACTGATTCTCGAGCACTCTATGCTTCCAGAAGTGCAGACACAGACAACACAATCCATTTGACCGAATGGGCCAATAATTGGGTGCCATTTGGCGCCGTTGGCATAAACTTTTCCGCCTGACTTACAATCATTAGCATTAAGTGTTTGATAAGTTCCCGACGAATCGTCATTAGGGCTATAAATGGTCACTAAATGACCCTCTCTTTTGTCGTAATTGTCTGAATCACTGATTGGTTTGTCTATAAAACAGATAAACATTTATTTGATTCATTCAAAAGCTCCGAATTCTGATTATATGAGAGATAATCAAAAAGGATGTCTATAGACAGCAAACCTCGACAGTTGGCTCTTAATGGACAACAATCTTCATTAAAGCCATTGCTGTTATCACCAACACTGGAACAACTGTCCGCATAGCATGTCTTGAGTCTGCAGAGCACAAGACCCGCCTATAACCCAATTATACAGATATTAAGAAATGGGAAACAATTGATTGATACAAATGACAGGACCTGACAAATGCATTGAACGCATTGGTTGGCAGAAGTCCTGTGAATGCCTGATGTGTTTGAGGCAAAGATCTGATTGTCTGAATAGGTTTTGCCGTTATGTTGGCACGAGTTTGCAGGCAATGGTCTGTCGGTAGTGGGACTGCGATTCAATGTATTGACTTGACTTTTAATATGGATTTCAACTCTTTTTGTTTCATCGGTTTCTGTCAATTAATTCATAAAATACACAATAATTACAAGTTATTGTATATTGTAGTGATTATATTAAAGTTAGATTATATGCTAGGAAATCTTCATATGGTAAAATTGTTATCTACAATTTTTAAATACTATTATTCAAAATAATTTTTATTACCCGTACAGTGTAAATATAAAATGCAAATATTATATTTTCAAGAATTCTATTTTGTGCCTTATTTAATAAAGCTTATTTACAAAACAAAGTATAAATAACTCACTAAAAGAAATTTTTGCACGATATGAATTTCTAACTAAATTATCAAACAAATAATATATAAATTTTTATTATAGAAAGCACTTACTGTTATATTAAATAGTAAAATAACAGACGACTGCTTTATAGAGATAGTTTTGTGAACAAGTGAAATATAGTATCTAATATTACTGTACTTGCATTTTCATTATAAGATTTTAAAATGAACAGTATGATTTCTATGTATTTTGCACAACTCACTAATAACTTAGAGTTGGAATAAAGTCAAGAACTCTCAACACATTTATATTTCAAAAGATTGTGATATTTTATTTATTATAATTTAATATCATATTATTTGCACGAGAATATACTGTACTTGTAAAAACTATTAACTTATATTCATGAATTTTGAATGCTATTTTAGTAAAGGTTATTCAGAATGACAGTTAACCACACCACCTACCTGTGCACTGTTGACAGCATCCTTTTTCCAATTCATTTAAATCAGTGGCCTCTTCACAAAGTTGAATGAGTCCATCACATGGCCTACTCGTGCAGTTAGACTTTCCTCCCTGATCATTCATATTAATTATCGGTAAAAATTAATGTAAGATTAAAAACACATAATATTATTATATTTGCAACAAGTTGATTAGTCCTCATATAATTTATTTTGAATTTAATATTTTTGTGAATCATAATCTCTTTTTTGGATTCTCCTTATAAATGAATGCATCAATTTATTTATAATATGTTATGGTGTTTATCGTATCATTAATAGTAAATCCAATTCTTTAAATAGTGAGCAATGAATTGAGTAAAAGTATTGACAAACTTGAGCGCAAACACAGGCCACACAATAGGACATGTCATGAGTGTCTAGTCTTCTGAACCAACTCTCTCCGAGTGGATATCTGGTGCCAGAGAAGGGACACGACTTAGAGACTGGGGTTTCAATGCTGTCTTCATTGATGTTAGATTTGTCTGCAAATGGGTATAAATAATGATAAGTAGTGTATGTTTTCAATGTCTCACAAGAATTCATTAGTCTTTCTGTTCAATCAATTAAATTCTCTCTCTCTCTCTCTCTCCACATCTTCTCACTTCTCAGTCTCTACAATAGACATCCCATTAAAAGATAAGGGCATAAGAGAGCAAAAGCAAATGCGAACAAAAAACATTTGGGAATATTTTGATCATTAGCTTAACTTCACATATCTCTCAATTAATTGACTTTCAATTAAATAATACAAAACAATTTATAATTTTTTGTTTAGTTGGATATTCATT